AAACAAACAAAAAGAGAACAGAAGTAAGATATATCCTTAGCCAGGTGTGGTGGTACACGCCTGTAATCGCAGCACTCAGGAGGCTGAGGCACAAGGATTATGCAAGTTTGAGGCCAGCCTGGGCTACACAGTGAGTGCAATGCCACCTGGAGTACATAGTGAAACCCTGTCTTTCAAAAAAAAAGATATAACACGTTCAGGTACAAAATTCCCTATGATCAGTGTGAACATTATGTATATCTAAAATGTACCTTAAAAAGGACATTCCATAATCCCATGAAGTACTACCGGTCAACACTCTTCTACTCTCACACCACCACTAAAGCCAGAACTGGTTTTCTAAAAGATAAATCTGCTGCAGCCATTGCCCCGCCTTAAAAGCCTTTATTTGGTGGCTCTCTCCTCTCTCCAAGGAATTGAGACTCTTGGCAGTGTACATTAAACCTTTCAAACCCTAACATCCAGCTGGGCGTGGTGGCCCACTGCTGTAACTCCGGACGGTGAGGCTGTGAGGCAGGAGGACTGCTGAGCTCAAGGCCAACCTGGACTACACAGTGAGTTGAAGGCCAGCCTGAACTGCACTGCGAGACCCTATCTCAAGGAAAACCCGACCTCTTCCCATATTTTTTTTTTTCCTCTTCCCATATTGAAGGCTTCTCTCACTATTTCTCTGGGAGATCCAACCCGTGAACGTGGTATCCTTTCCTGCCTTTCCTCCTGCAGCCTTTGCCGCTGGGAAGAAATCTGTGCACACCTCCACTGAGCTAAACAGCAACTCGATTTTCAAGCCTCAATCCAAGCGCTATTTCCTCCCCAGCCTTCCCTGCCTCCTCCGTTCCAGAAGCTAGGCTGAACGCCACTCCTCCCTGCGCCCGGGCGCCGTGCATCTCTCCCACGGCATGCATCGTTCTAAAATACAAGCCTGGGTGCCTGCCTCCTCGCAGAAAGCCAGTTCTTGGATAACACGTACAGTATCTCTCTCCTGTCCATCCTCAGCACCGGCTTGTAGCAAGCATCAACAAATCGTGAATGAATGGCTGGGGAGGGGGGCGCGCAGCCTCAACACCAGGAACCTACGGCCAGGAAATATATTCGTGACGAATAACGGTGAGGAAATCCGAGGCCAGGTGTGCCATGGGAGGCGGAAGGGACAGAACCGGAGCGGTTTCACATACCAGATGTTTTCTTCTCCACCATTTGCGCAGCACAGCTGCCGAACAAACTACCTGCGCACGCGCACTAAACCGAAGGTCGCCTAAACGGCAGTATCACTTCCGGTGCGCTTATATTCTACGCGTGCGCAAAAACAATCTACTGTGTGGCGTCTAGACGTGATGTTTCCTTGGAGACCAGAAAGCTTTCCGCCATATTTTTTAGGGGCAAAATGACTTCCGCCCTCAGGGTAATTCGGCAAATTTGTGAGTAGCCCAAAATGGATCATTTTAAAGTAGTGATGCCAGTGGTCTTTGGAGATACACTATTTTCTTTAGGCTTTTCTTAAGGTGCTATTGTCTCAAGTGAAGCCCGCAGAGCTCCCAGGACACAAGATTGCCTAAGAAAGTGGGCGAGATGGGGATGGGGAGAGAACCAACCCGAGACGTCCCTCCGGGTGGCCCTCTGCCCAAAAATTCAGACCTAGTTCTCCGGGCCGTAATCCCGCCTAGGGCGCCTCTACCTCCTCCTTCCCCACTGCCTCGCTCTCCCCCTCTTCCGCCCGATTGGGGAACAGGGCTGTGACCACGAAGCGCCCCTGCGTCCCGCTGGACCCTCCCGTGGAGTCACTTTCCCTCATAGAGTTTTGGTTTTCTCTCAAGCGGACAGTGGCCCGGGCAGGCTCGAATCGCTGCCCCAGCTCCTCCCCGTCCAGCGGCCCGGCGCCTCTTCTGCTCACCCGGAGCAGCCCGAACGCCCGCGCCAGGGACAATCCTCGCCTTGTCTAGTCGCCCGCAATCTCGAGTTTTCCGAAGCCTCAGGTTACGCCTTTTTTCCAGGGCGGAGCTCCAGCCCAGCTCCTCCTAGCAGCTGGCCGCCTAGCCGCCCGGGTTTCCTCTTCCCAGAACCTTCTCCGGAGCTGCGATCCAGGCGCGCAGCCCACCCCGGTGCGGACCCATGGGGCTCCCTGGCTCGCCCCCTGCCGTGGCCTCGGGACCCTGGCTTCCGCTCCTACCTCTGCTCCTGCTCCTGTTCCTGCTGCCTCCGCCTCCGGGGGCCTCCGCCTCGGACCAGCCCCGGGGCAGCAGCCCTGTCAACCCAGGTGAGGATCTGCCGGCCCAGCCTTTGAGGGGTTTCGTGTTCCAGGGGCTCCAGCTCCCCCCAGCCTGGTGCACCCTTGGGCGGAAGCAAGCATCCCCCCATTCGCTTCTCACCCTGAGCTGGGTTCCAGCCTCCCCAAGGAAAACTGACCGTGCATTCCTGTGTATCACTCCTTCCCACCCCTCACTGAGGTGGAAATGCCCCTGGGCCAGAAAAGTTTCAGAGGGATCTGCAAGGGGGGATAAGGGGCTGTGGTGGACTTAGTGGGAAACTAGGGGTCCTGTGGGAGAACGTGAAGCCCGGAGCAGTGGGTGGATCTCAAGTGCCAATTCCTGGCTGGTGACAGAGAAACTGCTGGTGATCACTGTGGCCACCTCGGAGACAGAAGGATACCGCAGGTTTCTGCAGTCCGCGGAATTCTTCAACTACACTGTGCGGGTGAGGAAGGAAGGGTCCCTGGGTTGAGTTCCAGCAGGAATGGGCTGAGGGCTGGTACCTGGGTCCCCAGCATGAATCCAATCAGTAGCACCCACACTCCCACTGGCTGAATCCCTCCCTGGCATGGCGGCTCTCCCCCACAGACCCTGGGCCTGGGTGAGGAGTGGCGAGGTGGCGATGTGGCTCGAACAGTTGGTGGAGGACAGAAAGTCAGGTGGCTCAAGAAGGAAATGGAGAAATATGCAGACCAGAAGGACATGATCATCATGTTTGTAGACAGGTAAGGGGGCTGAGATGGGGAGAAAGAAGGAAAACACAAGGGATAAGGATGCTGAGGTTCCTAGTGGCCTCCTTCCTGCCTGTCCTCCTCTTCCTTGCCCAGCTATGATGTGATTCTGGCTGGCAGCCCCTCGGAGCTGCTCAAGAAGTTCATCCAGAGCGGCAGCCACCTGCTCTTCTCTGCAGAGGGCTTCTGCTGGCCTGACTGGGGGCTAGCAGAGCAGTACCCGGAGGTGGGCACGGGGAAGCGCTTCCTCAACTCTGGTGGTGAGTGGCAGGGTGCCTGAGGCAGAGAGGCCAGGAGTGGTGGTGTGTGGAATGTTGAAGATACCTGTGGGCTGAAGAGGGTGTGGGGCTATGGCTGTGAGACCCCCAGGAATCTTGGGGTCAGGCCCTTTCGTGCTGCCCCAGGGTTCATTGGCTTCGCTCCCACTATCCACCAAATTGTTCGCCAGTGGAAGTACAAGGATGAGGACGATGACCAGCTGTTCTATACGAAACTCTATCTGGACCCGGGGGTCAGGGTAAGAAGGGTCAGGGGTAGGGTGCCCCACATCCCTGGGGGGGGGAACCTTGGGCTAAATGGATGAGAAGGCAGGAGGAAGGCTTGGGGAGGTGCAAAGAGAATAGGTGAGAGTCCCAGCACTGTGGGAGGCTGAGGTTGGAGGATCACAAATTTGACCCCAGTCTGGGCAATTGATGAGAAGACCTGTGTTAAAAGAAGAAAGACAAAAGGGCTGGGGATGTATCTCAGTGTGAAAAGCCTGGGTTCAATCCCCAGCACCCACCCCCCAAAAAAAAGGCAAAGAGGGAAGAGAGGGAGAATGATGTCTTCCTACCCTCATCAGTTAACCATCCCATCCCATCCCATCCAGGAGAAACTCAGCCTTAATCTGGATCATAAATCCCGGATCTTCCAGAATCTCAATGGGGCTTTAGGTGAGGAGGAAGGCCATCCAGTGGTGAGCAGCAAGGGGTTCTTACTACAGGGATCCTGGATGGAGGGGCTGCTGGTGGAGCTAGACTGGTCTGCAGCTCACCTGTATGTTGCCTTTTCACTCTTTCATAATTTTCGTAATGCTAGCAGTAGTAGGTGTGAGAGCAGCGTAGGTGTCCTGACATCTCCTGGCACATACTGTGTACCCAGGGTACCAAGCAAGGCGCTTTGCCTCTACCATGTCATTGAACACACAGTCCTCCAAGGGAGGGTACTGGGCTGTCCACTTTGGACAGACCCTTCCACAGGCAAGGAAATCCACTCCCTGAGGACTGGTGACTCACTTGGTTACCCAGGCATCAGGTGGTGGACCTGTCTGTGGTGGCAGGAACTCTCAAGAAAGAGGTTTCTGCCCCAACAGAGCCATGGTCTGGGGAAGTTTGTTCTAGGGACTCCATTTCCTCTAGAGAAACTGGGAGACCCCCCTCCCCAGACACACACACTTAGAAGCACCTCCTGCTCAGCAGCTCCTGGAGAAAGGGAATGTGAAACCTGGCTTTCCTTCCCCAGATGAGGTGGTTTTAAAGTTTGACCGAAATCGGGTGCGCATCCGGAATGTGGCCTATGACACGCTCCCTGTTGTGGTCCATGGAAATGGCCCCACAAAGGTACCCCCAAGTGCCCTTTTCCCTTGCCTGCCTCAAGCCATGGGTACCCCCAATCTCCTGAACAGTTGGGCTTTCCCAGCCCTAGCAACAGATGTGCTGGGACAGCGTCTCCCTCTCCCCAGGACCCTCAGGCCTGGCCCTACCATAGGCTCGACTGCCCTCCCCAACACCTATTCCTGACTCCCCTGCTGCTCCTGTCTCTCTTAACAGCTCCAGCTCAACTACCTGGGGAACTATGTCCCCAATGGCTGGACTCCCCAAGGAGGCTGTGGCTTCTGCAATCGGGACCGGAGGACACTCCCGGGGGGGCAGGTGAGGTGGGAGCCCCTAGAAGGAAAGCTTGAGGAGGATTCTGGGTGGCTGTAGGGCAAAGGTCTGGTACTCAGAGGTACCTCCTGGACACTGGGGCTTCGGGGGCAAACAGAAGCCCGAGGCCCCCAAGCCACATCCTGTTTTATCCTCCAGCCTCCCCCCCGGGTGCTGCTGGCCGTGTTTGTGGAACAGCCCACCCCGTTTCTGCCCCGCTTCCTGCAGCGCCTGCTGCTTCTGGACTACCCACCAGATAGAGTGACCCTCTTCCTGCACAACAGCGTGAGACACCTGCAGCTTCTCCCTGGAACCAACCCCTAGCCCTGCATGCCTCCCCACCACCTTCTCCCCAGGAGGGGCACCCTGTCCGCCCACTCAGCCCTTTTCCCTATCCCCATTTTCCCCAGGAGGTATACCACGAGCCTCACGTTGCAGACTCCTGGCCGCAGCTCCAGGACCACTTTGCATCTGTGAAGCTCTTGGGGCCAGAGGAGGACCTGAGCCCAGGCGAGGCAAGGGACATGGCCATGTGAGTGAGCCCCCAGGGAGTGGGCAGTGGCCTGTCACCCACCTGTGGCCCTTCCCTCCTGTCACCAGCTTGGCCTCGTTGGGCCTCCAAACCTGCAGCTTTGTAGTCCCCTCCCTTGTCCATCTGTTACTGGTGCTGGGGACTGTAAAAAAGGAAAACCTGACCCCTGCCCATCCCATGGCCCCCTCCCCAACCCACACCCCTTTCCAGCTCATCCGTCTATCTATGGGCCTGTCCCCTGCAGGGACACCTGTCGGCAGGACCCAGAGTGTGAATTCTACTTCAGCTTGGATGCCGATGCCGTACTCACCAACCCACAGACCCTGCGCATCCTCATTGAGCAGAACAGGTCTGGCCAGAGTACCCCAAGTCCCCAGGAACCCCAGACCTCCCCAGGCACAGGCTCCCCGAGGCCTCTGGCCCTCCACCCAGCCCTCATTCCCCCTGGCCCACAGGAAGGTGATCGCACCCATGTTGTCGCGCCATGGCAAGCTCTGGTCCAACTTCTGGGGAGCACTGAGCCCTGACGAGTACTATGCCCGCTCTGAGGACTATGTGGAGCTGGTGCAGCGGAAGCGGCTGTGAGTTCCACCCAGGGCAGGACCCTGTCCCCAGCCCTGGACCATATGCCTAGCCCTCAGGAGCCTGAGGTGATCACCAGTCGACTGGCCGTGGCCAGCAGTGCTTGGCAGGGGAGATAAGGGGTCTTCCGACTTGGGGACTGGGTACCCTAAGAGAGGGAGATCCTAGCTGATCCTAGCGCTGGTTCCTCCAGCGGCGTGTGGAATGTGCCCTACATAGCCCAGGCCTACCTGATCCGTGGGGAGACTCTGAGGACAGAGCTGCCCCAGAAGGCAGTGTTCTCAAGAAGCGACATAGACCCAGACATGGCCTTCTGCATGAACCTACGGGACAGGGTAAGCAGGCTGACAGCCTGGAGTCTGGTGTTGGGACACCCGAGATGGCAGCCACCTGGTGTCATCTCTGTCCTTCTCACGTACACTACTGTCCTGTGCCAGGGCATCTTTCTCCACCTCAGCAATCAGCAAGAATTTGGCCGCCTCCTGGCCACATCCCGGTATGACACAGACCATCTGCACCCTGACCTCTGGCAGATCTTCGACAACCCTGTTGTGAGTGGGGGCCCCACCACTGGCAAACATTAAGGAGGACATCAATGCATGGGGCACCCCATATAGGGTCCTGGGTGGGGAGGACCAGCCTCTCCTCAAGCACCTGACCCTCCCACAGGACTGGAAGGAGCAGTACATTCACGAGAACTACAGCCAGGCTTTGCATGGAGAGGGCCTAGTGGAGCAGGTGAGCCCCTCAGACCTTGCTCCTGAAGGCCAGCGCCTCTTGGCCCTTACCTGGATTAGCGTTTTTCAAACTGAGTTCCCAGGGGACCCAAGAGGTCAGCAGAGGCTGAGCAGATGGAATCCCCAGTGCTGCCAAAAATAAGTAAAAGCAGGATGTGCTATTGGAAAGGAGACTGAAAACCACTGTCCAGTGCCAAGAATGGTGGAGAGGCTGAGACAGGAGGATTGTCGTGATTTTGAAATCTGGGCTACAGTGAGTTCAAGGCCAGCCTGGACTGCATAGTGAGACCCTGTCTGATAAAGAAAAGAGAACAAAACCACTGGCCCGTGCTGGGGCTCCAGGCTTCTCCTTCCATCTGCATTGTGTGGTCCAGAGGGTCTCCACCTGCACCCACCCACCTCTGTGCTGGCCCCACAGCTCAGGGCCTGGGCCTTCCCAGCTCTGGTTACCCCTGTCCCAGCTCCTCTCATCTCTGGTTCTCCTCCCCACCTCCCTGGTTTTTCTCTCTTCATCTGCCCCAGCCCCATCTCAGCTCTGTCCTTTTCCCTGCCCTGTTCCCTAGCCATGTCCAGATGTGTACTGGTTCCCACTGCTGTCAGAGCAGATGTGCGATGAGCTGGTGGAGGAAATGGAGAACTATGGCCAGTGGTCAGGGGGCCGGCACGAGGTGAGGGGCCCAGAGGGAGGGACCATGGGCTTGGGGTTGAGGCATTGGTGAAGGGGACTGAAACTGGGTGGAAGCCCCCAGTGGGTATGGCTGTATTCATGCATGCATGCTGCATTCATTCATTCATTCACTCATTCATTCAGAGAATACTTACTGGGCCACTGGCCTAGGTAGTGTAGATAGAGTAGAGCCAAGCAGGGGCCTGGGCCCAGATGGGGACCAGGGGCTTCACAAGAGAGGTGACATTTAGCTGAGATGCGAAGGGCCAAGAGCAGTTAGTCAGGCTGAGAAGCAGAAGACTGTTGAGGCTGAGGCAAGAGGATTGAAAGTTGGAGGCCAGCCTGGGCAACTTAGTGACTTCGTGCAATCCTGTCTCAAAATAAATAAAAAAGGGCTGGGGATGCAGCTCAGTGCGAAGGCCTGGGTTCCATCCCCAATGCCTCCAACAATAACAAAAAGAAGACTGCTCCAGACAGAGGTACTCAGGTACTCAGACCTTAGAGACAAGGGAAGGAAGGTGGTGGGCACTGCCCCAGGCAGTGGGTGACTCAATGACTGTTGCCCACAGGACTCCCGGCTGGCAGGGGGCTACGAGAACGTGCCCACTGTGGACATCCACATGAAGCAGGTGGGCTACGAGGACCAGTGGCTGCAGCTGCTGAGAACATACGTAGGGCCCATGACTGAGCACCTGTTCCCCGGCTACCACACCAAGGTGGGCCTGCGCCCCATTCCCACATAGGGGTTGGCACATGGACCCCTCCCAGCCAGTAGAGCATTGGGGCTCCCTGGAGGCTGTGGGTTTGAGATGGTGCAGGAGGGCAGCAGGGAGGCAGCTGCCATGCTAAGACCCGTATCACTCTGGCAGTGAGGGCCTCCCATGTCCACTGGAGGCCGTCGTCCTGTGCCAGAGCCCCCAGAGCCCCGACCCTCCCTGCAGCTCCCCATTTTGTCCCCTCAGACCAGAGCAGTAATGAACTTTGTAGTCCGCTACCGGCCAGACGAGCAGCCCTCACTGCGGCCCCACCATGACTCATCCACCTTCACCCTCAACGTGGCGCTTAACCACAAGGGCCTGGACTATGAGGTGAGCCACCTCCTGCTCTAGGGTGCTTCCAGCCCCCACTCCTCCCACTCAGCCAGGAACTTTGTCATTTAACCCCCCCAGTATACCCCTGGCTGCCTTCCTTGGCCCTGGCCACCCCATTTCCCAGTTATTTGGGGGTGTCTGCCTCCTTCTAGGGGGGTTCCCTCATCTTTCTCCTGTGCTCCCCTTGTCTGTGATACCCCAACCCTCTTTTCTAGCCTGCCAGGCCCTCAACCTGTAGTTCCCCCCTTCTCTGTCTGCCTGCCCCCCACCCCATGTCTACTCACCCCTTGTTTTCTCTCCTCCCAGGGAGGGGGCTGCCGGTTCCTACGCTACAACTGCATCATCTCATCCCCAAGGAAGGGCTGGGCGCTTCTGCACCCCGGCCGCCTCACCCACTACCATGAGGGGCTGCCTACGACCTGGGGGACTCGCTACATCATGGTGTCCTTTGTGGACCCTTGATACCCAACCACTGCCAAACCTTCACTGCCATTGTGCCTTCTTGGGGGGCCTGGCCCCCACACTTGGAGATGGGTCTCTGCCCATACCCTTGCCTCCTGAGTGTGTCCCATTTGCCCAGGACTGAATGTGTTACCTTGCCAAACCCACAGCCACTCAGGAAGCTGGAGGAGCCCCTGTCCTTCCTTCAGCCTCCTGGGGTTCATGATGCTGGGCTTCTGGGGTCCCCCATGATAAATTATTAATGTTCCTCAGCCTCCCTCTAATAAAAGAAGATTTGTAACTCTTGAGTCCATGTGTTATCTTTGACCTGCCAGTAACCCCATCACCCTCCTGCCACCCAGGTGACTCGCAGAGGAGGAAAGAGAGTGGGAGAGGGGGTTGAGGGCACCAGCAGCCTCCCCAGTCCCACTTCCGTGCTCCCCTTTCCTGCCTGAGCTGGGAGAATGTGACAAGGACCCTTTTAGTTCATACACTGCTGAAGCCAGCACTCGACAAGGCTAAGGGAGAGGAGTGACAATTGTGCAAACGTGGCCCTGTGCCCTCTCCCTGACCTGCATCTTACCCAGGTGTGTTCTTCCCCTGGGGAAGGGGACAGGAGGACACAGCCCCAAGCAAGGCTTCCAGGACAGTGCTGGGGAAGAAAGTCCCCTTGAAGCCTGTGCTGGGACCTAAGCTGTCATTCGGGGGAAGGATCAGATCAGGAAAGGGCACTCCAGCTGGGCATGGTGGGGCAAATCTAATTCTAGCACGCAGGAAGCTGAGGAAGGAGGATTGCTGTAAGTTTGAGGCCAACCTGGGCTATGTAGTGATTTCAAAGTCAGGTGCATTACAGAGCAAGACCCTATCTGAAAAACAAAACAAAATAGATGGTGTTCCAAGGCTTTTCCCCAGGAAGCTTCCGGAAAGAAGGGAATGTGCAGAAGCTGAAAGAAGAGGAAAAAGGTGACCCACTTTAGAGGCCCCCTTCTGTCATCTTAGAAGTGATCTTTCAATAAATTCTGAGAGAGAGAGAGAGAGAGAGAGAGAGAGAGAGAGAGAGAGAGAGAAAGAGAGAGAGAGAGAGAGATCTGGATGGCGCAGGGCTGACTTGCAGGCCTCTGGCAGAGCCTGGAGCCCTTATCCAGGGCCTCGGGGAATAGCAGGTCACACTCGATTAACTTGGTTCTCCCTAGTCTTTTTTTTTTTTAATTAATTAATTTATTTATTTTTGTGTGTGGCCAGCTCAGCCCAGCCCACCGGGGGGCGGGGCTGGCTGGCATGTGGTGCTGGGGGATCAAACCGTGGTCACTGTGCTTTGCCAAGCTTGTTCTAAGTAGGTGCTTTAGACCACTGAGCCATCTCTCCAGCCCCGGTTCTCCCTAGTCTTGCACTGAAGTCTGAATTTCTCTCCCAACTATTCCCTTTGCAAGGGCTTTCAAAAACAGGACAGACCTGTTCATTTCCTGGGACATCTCCCCACCCACAGCCACAATCCCTTCTGCACCCCTGCTGAGCCCCAGGAGAGCGCTCCCCCCTGAGGCTCCCATCCTGGCAGGTGTGCCAATCACCGGGGTGCACAGGCTGAGCATCCTTCTAGCTGGAGCATTAAATCCCTCTCACTCTGGCTGCCACCAGTCTTGTCCCAGGCCCTGTGGGTGGAAATGGGCTGAATAAGGACAACAGGAAAGATTTCTTGGCAAGGACCCTGGGACAGGAAATCTGTGTGCAAGGGAGGCGGGTGAGGGTGTGCACAGCCCAAATGGTTGGGCTGGGGCTTTGCCCGTCTCCTGGGGCCCCACCCATTCATTAATGTTCATTAATCAATTACTTCTTTGTGCCAGACACCTCAGGAATCACAGGGCCACAGTAGGATGTGATAGTTGTCCTCTTGCTGCTTACAGCCTGGGGGAGACTTCAGCAGAGACTCTGACAAAGGGGAAGTACCCTACACTGCCAGAGCAAGGAACAGAGGAGCCTTCAAGTGACATTCCCTTGATGATTCCCCCAGACCCTAGACATGCTAGGAGGCCATGGTGACCATAAGGACCCATCAGGGTGAGTCTCAGCCTAGTCATGGGCCCCCGCATGGATTCACTAATCCTCAGCCTCCCCACAAAATCAGCTCCTCCAGGGACTCCTCCCTAGGAAGCCTGCCCACCCACAAGTCCAAGTCCTGCACCTGAGATAAAGGTGTCTCTTTTTTTTTTTTTTTTTTTTTAAAGATTAAGGTTTTTTTGTTTTCAGTACAGAAGATTAAACCCCCAGGCCCTTCACACCGAACTTCACCTCCAGCCCTTTTGTATTTTGAGATGGCTAAACTGTTAAATTGTCCAGACTGGCCTCCTACCTCAGCCTCCTGGACTGCTGAGATTACAGAGGTGTGTGCCACTGTGCCCAGTGTTTCCCTAGCAGTCCTGGCTGTGTAGACAGCTCTGCCTTCCTGGCACATTGCAGATCTCCACCAGCCCTGCTCCTGGAGGCCTGAGGTTCAAACACCCGCAAACACCGCCCCCCCCCCACACACACACATTCCACCCTGGCCACGCCCCAGTCAGTTTCCCTTTGCTCCCATTGGTCATCTCAGCTCTGGAAGCGATAAGGCTGTATCTGGCTCAGATGGCTCAGCAAAAGGGGTGGAACCAAGAGGTGGAACCCAGGCCAGGGGTCAAGGTCAGTGGACTGGGTGGGGAAGGGGGGTGCCTCAGGGCTGCAAAGCACCCTGTGCAGCATGGAGACCTCTTCCAGCCTCCTCCACAGGGGTCTCCAAGTCTTTGCTGTCCTGCAATGGGTCTTCTCCTTCTTGGGACTTGGTGAGTCTGCAGAGCTCCAAACCCAGGCAAATCTGGCAACTGGGTTTTGCTTCCCCATTACCCCTAGGGTGGCAGTGCAGGGACTTTTGGGGTCCTTGAAGGAGTCCTGCAAGCAGGTGCACAGACCAGCACTAATGTGTGGAACCAGGGCAGGCTTGAATATGGGGGTTCTGAGTGCCTCCTCATCCGCAGCCCAGGTGTGCCTGGTGGCCTTGGTCCTGGCTGCCCTGGGCCGGGCCTGGATCCTAGTGGTCCTCTACCTAGCCTGGCTCTACACAGACAGAGACACACCCAGAGCTGGAGGCCGCCGCTCAGCCTGGGTCCGAGGCTGGGCCGTCTGGAGACATTTTCGAGACTACTTTCCTATCAAGGTGACAGTCCTGGGAATGGACAGTGGGAAGGGGCTACAAAATAAACTCTAGTCCCAAAGTCCAGACTCACCAGTAAATGGATGCAAATCTGCTCCCCAGCTGGTTAAAACCGCAGAGTTGGATCCCTCCCAGAACTACCTCTTTGGCTTCCATCCTCATGGGGTCCTCGTTGTGGGAGCCTTCGCCAACTTCTGCACCGAAGCCACTGGTTTTTCCCGTCTCTTCCCCGGCCTGCGCCCACACCTGCTCATGCTGCCCTGTTGGTTCCGAGTCCCCTTCTTCCGTGACTACATCATGACCAGTGGTGAGGAGGGGCTGAGTCCAGCATCAAGACCCCAAGCCTGGCTGTCACATCCCTCTCCTGCTGGGGGCTCCTGGGCCCAGCTCTACCTCCCTAGAGCCTTCCCCACTCTGATCTGCAAGCCCCAGCCTCTGCCTTCCCTCAGGCTTGGTCTCCTCTGACAAAGCCAGTGCTGCCTATCTGCTGTCCCGTCCTGGGGGTGGCCAGGTGGCAGTCCTCGCAGTGGGAGGGCCCCTGGAGGCATTGGAGGCAAAGCCGGGTGCCCTGAGCCTGCGGATCCGGAATCAGAAGGGATTCGTTAAACTGGCGTTGGAACATGGGTGAGGAGCGGGGGAGAAGGTCTGGGATGTGGGGACCTCTGCGGGGAGAGGAGCGGCCAGGAGTCAGCTGTGGCCTGTGTCCCCAGGGTCTCCCTAGTGCCTGTCTTCTCCTTCGGGGAGAACGAGCTCTTCCAGCAGTACCCGAATCCGCCCGGTTCGTGGGTGCGAAGGGTGCAGGAGTCACTGCAGTCCCTGCTGCGTGTGGCCCTGCCGCTGTTCCACGGCCGCGGAGGGTTCCTGCTGCCCTTCCGGGAGCCCATCCACACCGTCGGTGAGCGGGCCCTGGGCCCTGTCCGGGCAGATCCCGTGGGTGAGGGCTGACAGGCTGGCGGGCGGAGCTGGGACGTCCCATGACCCCGTCCCTCCGGCAGTGGGCGCCGCGATCCCGGTGCAGCGATGCCCAAGGCCCAGCCGCGCGCAGGTGGACGAGCTGCATGCCCTCTACGTGGAGCGCCTCACGCAGCTCTTCGAAGAGCACAAGGAGCGCTGCGGGGTCCCCGCCGATCGGCACCTCGTGTTCACCTAGGCGCGCTGCCCCCTCCCGGCCCGCTCTGTGCCCTTGGCAACTGCAGGTGGGGGAGTGGAATTAAAGGTGGGAACAGACCGTGGTGCTTGCGTGTTTGTGCGTGGTAGGGGAGGTCGCAGCTTAGCGCCAGGCTGGGGATCAAGGCCCCCGCAGCTCCTGGGTGGCGTGGACACTCCTAGAGGCCTGCAAACAGACTAAGGTCCTCCCCCTGCGCCACGCTGGAAATCAAAGTCTCACCGAGCTCGGGAGGCTGGGATGCAGTGGGCGGGTTGGCCTTTGTCTTCTCGTCCTTCAGTTCTTAGGGATCCAACCTGAACACGCCCCCCCCGCCCCCCCTTTCCTGCTCACCCGGCCCCTCCCAATCGCCTGCCCAGACAGACTGACCTGAGGGAGTTCACAGATCAGATCCAGAAGGCCCAAAAATCTCCCCAACTCCACACACTGACATTTGGGGAGGTGGCCTGTGATCTGCCCTAGTGCACCCAAATCTCCATCCACTCGGAGTTCTGCAGCCCTCCTTGGCGAAGGGCAGCTTCCAGGATGGGCGAATCATAGCCCCTGCTGCCTGTGAGAAGCCTTTGGAAACAGCTGCTGGAAGCAATGGGCGATGGGCGCTGGCCACTGTGTGCTCACTTTCCCCTTACTGGGTAAGAGGACTCGAGAGCAACTGCGTTAATGGCCCGGGAAGGGAACTAGAGAGGCCATGGCTGGGGCCCAGACCCGGAGATGGAGGTGCAGAATCCAATTCAGTCTCTTTCTCAACTGGTCCCCAGCCCTGTTCCTCCTCTTCATGATGCTCCCTGGTCCTTCTCTGTCAGTGTGGCTGTCCCTGGACTGAGCCAGGCCTAAATATGGTGAGCTCTGGACAGGGACCCCCATGGTAAGAGATGGGGGACAGGTACTTGCAGGGATCCTGCCACCCTCTCTCTGCCCACTGGTGGAAGGCACACCCATGTGGGGAGGACCTAGACAATTTGGAAACACCAAAGATATCATGTTCCTGTCAAGATGATGGGTCCCCTCCAGACAACCTCCCCAAACCCCACACAGCCCACTCCTGCTCACCCTTCACCTTCCTGCAGCCTGCACCTCACTGCCCCAGCTCTGGTGGGAGACCAGGCAGAGCCCAGTATGAGAGTGGGCCCTTGAACCCTTCTAGGGCCCTGGACTCTAACTCTTTCCAACTGGAGTTTGGCCTTTTCTACCTCTCTCTTCTCATCCTTCCTGACCCTGGGAAGCTAATGAAGGTGGGAGAGCTTCCCTTGGACAGGAGTATGTGCTGGGTGTCTGCCCATGTGGGCTCCCGGGCACTGGAGATAGCTTCTGTGATATCTCCGTGAGCGTCAGTGGCTTCTCCCAGCATTTGCCTGGTCTTTGGTCTTCTCACCACTGCTGCCTTCCCATCTTTGGAGAATGCATCATGTTTCACAGGAGCCTGGTGCTGAGTGGGAGAGGACACCCACAGGCCAGAGTGCTCCCCACTCCCACAAGGACCTCCACATGGGACCAGGACCTGACCTGAACATTGGCCAGGTTGGCAGTGAATGCCAGTGAGTAGCTTTCCTATTGACTGGCACGGGGAAAGGGGAGTGGGGTGCAGAAGGAACAGGAGGACATGGGTGCAGCCTTCCTATGCTAAGAATGGGGTGAGGGGCTAGAGATCTATAGAGGAAGTGGTGATGGCTTCCTATCTTTTCCTGTTCATAGGTTTCCTCCTATGAGCCACCAGAGCCTGGACTTCATACTCTCTTAGCTCCAGCACAGCCAGGCTGTGATCAACTTGATCAGGGGCTCCCAGGAGACCCTGTACATGATACCCGCTGGGGTATCATTCACCCCAGAAACATAGTGGCTTCATGTGCCTGGATCTGAGGCTTGAGTGAGTGGACATGCATGTCTTGGTGGCCAGAGCAAGGAAGCAACTTGCTGGAGGGTCTCTGTGGGAACACAGGTTTTCTCAGTCCCTGATAGCCGGGTCCCTGCAGAGGGGGCTCATGTCTCACAGCTGGAGGCTCCTGGAAGCCCTTCAGTACCTGACTCTGGGTCCACCCCATGCTACTTCCAGGGGACCCCTCCCACTGTGAGCAAGGCACAGCCATAGGGCAAATAGGAGAGCCCTGGGGCTCAGCAGCCCTGGCCCTACCCCGAGAACTTGTTTGGAGGTTCTAGCAGGGGAGCACAGCTACCCATGTAGCCTTGACCAAGGAACAGTCCTCCTCAATCAGGGGTGGTTGTCCTCTTCAACCAAGCATGCAGCTTCAGGAGGGACACATATGGAGCATTTAGGGAAGAAGGGGACTCCAGCCTTGCCAGCCAGATCAGCCAAATCAACCCGGGCAGTCAGTGGGTTGACAGATGTCGCAGCCAGATCACCCTCACATCCGGCCCTGGCCCGGTCTCAAAAATGAGACTGCAGGCTTGTTTGCCTATGAACCCAGATGCTACCTTCCTTCACATAGATGTTATAGATGTGAAGAGTGAAGGGGGAAATGGAGGTACAACCATTTGTCAAAAAAAGTGACCCCGTTCTTTGCACTCATAACTTTGTGCTTCAAAACGGACCTGGGACCTAAGAGATAGCTCAGCCACATATCCACCTGCTTGGCAAGCGCAAGGTCCTGAGTTCGATCCCTGGTACCAAAAATAAATAAATAAAGGCACTGGGAAGTGCTATCATGAGGTATAGGGAGGCACTTCCAGCCTCCAAGGCGCTAGAAGTAAAGGAGGCCAACCACCCCTGTATTAGTCAGCTTCCCATTACTATAATAAATACCTGATATAACCAGTTTATAAAGAGAAAACGTTAGCCAGGCAAGATGATGCATTCCTATAATCCCAGCACTCTGCGAAGCTGAAACAGAAGGATCTCAAATTCAAGTTCTGCCTGGGTAATTTAGCAACTTATCGAGATTCTGTCTCAAAGAAGGGATGGAGATATAGTTCGGTGTGAAGGCTCTGGGTTCAATCCAGAAAGAGAGAGAGAGAGAGAGAGAGAGAGAGAGAGAGAGAGAGAGAGAGAGAGACTCTCTTTTTTTACCACCCTGTCAGGGCCTCCCAGGTGCCCTGTACTCCAGAGAGAATGACATCTCCATACTGAAGGCACCAGGTCACCTTTGAAAAACTCACAGGCCTCTCTCCCCACCTCTTCTCAGCCACTCCTGGGATCTGCTGCTGAGTGCGTGTCATGTGTGCCCCCAAAACCCCAGGGTGCCTCCCATCTCTGTGCCCCAGAGCTGCAGACCCACCAGGAGCAAGCTGGCCATGATCATACTGTATGGGAAGGCTCTGCAGCAACTGTTCTCAGACCACAGGGGAAGCTGCCAGTGGTGCCCTGAATCCTGGGCACTGGAGCCTCTGCCTCCTGCCATCCTCCATCTTTCAATAAATGTGTATCCCAGCACAACTGCCCCATCCTGATGGGCTGCGAAGTTGCCAGCTTACCCCGGACCCCAGCACCCATCACCTCCTCCCAGGGAGACTCCCTTGGCTGCGTGACCTAGGAGAAGCTCTCCTTTGCACCGAGCTCCTTCTGCCTCTGTAAAGCAGGGAATAAAGACATGGGGAGGGGAAGCCTGCATGGAGCGCAGCTTTGAAGGGCAAGCAGGATGTAGGGAAAAGGAGAAGTCAGGGTGGTCATGGAACATTGTGAGCCAAAGCTGAGCTTGGCTGAGGGTCCCCCAGATGATGGAGAGGTGGAATAGTCCTCAAGGATGGAAAAGATAGAGTGAGGTACACGGCTTGCCTCTGCACCTTACCAAATCTCTTACAGTCTGTGTGTCAGGGCAGAAATGGAGTAAGGGGGCCAGAAAAAAAAAAAACAAAAACCATGCAGAACTAGGAATTGAGCTGCAGGCCTTTGCACTGAGCTATATCCCTAGCCCTTTTAAACATTTCTAAAAGAGAATACAACGTTTCACTAGGTAGCTAAGTTGCCCAGGCTGGGCTTGAACTTGAGGTCATTCTGCCTGAGTCTCCCAGTCTCTTGGAATGCAGGCATGCACCACAAGAAAGTTCTTAATTTGACCAGACTATGATAAGAAACTTTTCTGAGCCTTCAAATCTCTAAAGCCAAAAATCTTCTCGTTGTGCATGTATTGATTTATTTATGGTGCTGGGGATTGGACCCAAGACCTCATCCATGCAGGGCTCTACCCTGAGTCATATCCTCCGGCCCCTTCTCTGTACTTCAGAGGTTCTCCTTTCTGGTCCCTCTGATACCTTCATTGCTTTCCCTGCCTCCTCATCTGCCCCTGTTTTTCTGCCCATGCACTTAACATAGGCTTTTCCCCCCTGAGAATCCTATTGTTCTTCTAAACTGGGAGATAAGAGGGGCTGGGGAGATAACTCAATCCCTGGTTCCACCAAAAATAAAATAAATAAATAAACTGGGAGATAAGAGAAAACCAGCTCCAGGCTGGAGCAGCCTTGGGCTCCTCAGCACGAGGCTCTGTGGACATAGCGGTTTGCCCTTTCAGCTTTCCTGCTGTGGAGCACGTAGGCAGCCCAAATCCTGGGTCCAACACCAAACTCTTAGTCTTGAAGCCTGTAAGGAATGATTTTAAAATATTGTGAAAGCTTAAACTTTAACAAATTCTTTACAGTAAAGACACATTTCTATGAGTGCTGCTCAAAATCTTGCTCTTTGCTTCAAACACTCATCCCATCATTCTTGCCACTTTTGGAAGCAATGCTGAAGTCGTCTTTCTTTTTTATTTTATACATTTGGCACAGGGTCTCACTATGCAGCTTGGACTCACAGTGATCCTCCTGTTTTCAGCTTCCCCAGTGCTGGGATTATGGGCCTGTGCCACCACACACGGTGGCCAGCTCAGCATGCCCGGGGGCGGGGCTGATGCAGCATGTGCTGCCAGAGACCGAACCCCAATCCTTGTGCTTGCTGAAGCAGGCACTTAGTCTGCTAAGCTATCTCATTGGCCCTTGAAATCCTCTTTCTTGAGAGTCTTCCATTGCACTCTCATGGCTGCCTCAAGGCCCTGAATTGACTCAATATGTTTTCCTTTTATGGTCATTTTGACTTTTGGGAAGAGCCAGAAGTCTCACTGTGATCAAATCTGATGACTG